AATAAAATAGTTTAAAAAATTAATAGTGTTCATCTAAAAGTTGTCCCATCTTTTGCTTCTTCTCCATCAGTGGCTTTAAGGGTCTCATTTCACTTCTACCCACTAATAACCTTTACATAGTGTCTCAGTGTCCATCACAAGCACACACATACAAAAAAGCTTTCATAGGGAAGAAAACGCCATTATAAAAGGTAAAGTGCATGCTGCTTTTTGTTTAGTTCTATTCCTCCATTCCACTAAAAAAATGCTAGCAAATGGGCTGGCTGGATGGCTCAGCTGTTAAGAGCACATACTGCTCTCATAGAGGACCTGAGTTCAATTCCCAGTCAAGTATGTCTGCCTTTAACGCTAGTTTCAGGGGAATCTGATGCCCTCTTCTGGTCACTGCAGGTACTGCACTCATGTACACACATACATACATAATTCAAAAATTCAAAAAAAATTCTAGCAAAGACTCTACTTTCTTTATTAGTAGACTCCAAATTGCAGACTAAAAACACTCTAGATTGTGTGGTATCACTGAAATACTGACATTATGAACCATAGATTACCAGATAATCATTCTTGTTCTGTTTTTACTGTATGGATACCCAAACAAAGTAATCTGTACTGGTCTGGCATGATTTTAAACTTGTTATTTTTGAGACAAGCAATCATTCTATAGCCCAAGTTGGCCTTGAATTCTCCATGACTCCTTTGCACTGGTCTCTCAAGTGCTGGGATGACAGGCATGAGCCACCACATTAAGTTTAAACTTATCTTTAAGACTACCAGACAGACCTCTGGAAACACTAGCCAGTTGAAATAAAGTTTAAGTTGGGCATATCTCTAGTTCCCAGCACAGTTTGGTAAAGACTAGATTTGACCAACTAATCTGAAATGTTGTAGCCCATGAAGGAATGATATGGGATGAATGAGGTTTTCATGCTGAAATCAAAGACAAAGAATAACACCCAAATACAGGTTTAATAGCAACTTCATTCAATGGGATATTTTTCCACTTGTCTTTGACTTGTCTTGCCCTGTAGCTGTCATTTTGACCACTGCATTTTAAAAAAAATTATTTTTATTTGATGTGTATGAGTGTGTTGCCTGCATGTATGTAAATGTACCCATGTCATGCAGTGCCTGTGGAGGTCAGAAGAAGGCGATGAATCCCCTGGAACTGGAGTTACGGACAGTTGTTAGCCGCCATGTGGGTGCTGGGATTCAAACCCAGATCTTCTGTAAGAACAGCCAGTGTTCTTAACTGCTGAGTCATCTCTCCAGCCCCTGACCACTGCAGTTTTTCACTTGAGAAGTTCTATGCCGTTCTCTTCCCAAAGGGCATACTGATTTTTTTTTTTTTTTTTTTTGAGACAGATTCTCACTATGTAACACTGGCTGACCTGGAACTTATACATACACCAGGCTGGCTTTGAAGTCACAGAGAGTCACACGGCTCTACCTTCCAAGTTCTGGGGTTAAAGGCATGTACCACCATGCCTGGCTTGCTTGCTGGTTTTTAAGCTTCTTGGACTTACTCAGTCCTTGTTTAAAATACTCAAAAGTGTGGACAACATCCATGTACTCTTGTGGCTCTTATCCTTTTCATTTTCCTTGTCAGGTTCTTGTTCTTGTATTGTGTGATTTGAGGGTAAGTGGACATTCCATGTGCTCTGCTCTACATATCTAAGTGGAGGTCTGTGTTGAAGGTGGATTGTTTGAGGGTAGATTTGTGTTTATTAGGTGCCTACATATGCTCCTAATTTTTCTACTATCTTACTTATTTCATTGGGGGTGAGGGGTACTCGTTTATAGAACACAAGTGGAGAACAGAAGGCATCTTATTGGAGTCAGTTCTCTCTTTCTACCATGTGAGTTCCAGAGGTGGAACTCAGTCATGAGACTGAGCAGCAAGTGTCTTTACGTGTTGAGTCCTTTTACCTGTCCTGGTACCATTTAAAACTAAAACTGTGGCTTGAGGTTTCTGTGGATTTTGTTTTGTTTCGTTTTAAATACTGTCTTAGTTACTTTGACATCATTATGACCAAATACCTGATAAAAATTAATAGAGGAAGACTTTGTTCTGGGTCATGGTTCAGGGATAGTCTATTATGGTGGGGAAGGCCCAGGGGACAAATCTCAGTGCATAAGGAAGCAGAGGGCTTGGGAGGATGCCCACCCAACTGCAACCCTCAATTCCTGCCCTGCTGGTAATCTATTTCCTCCAGTTAGGTTGGTTCCTCCTAAAGGTTCCATAACCTTCCCAAACAGCACCACCAGCTGGGGAACAAGTGTTCAAACACATGAACCCACAGGGGTCATTTCATACTCAAACCATGGTAAGCAGAGAGGATTTGAGCTGAAATCCAAATATGGAACAACTTTTGGGTACAACATGTCATGAGAGCATATGCATTTGTGTACATCTCTTCATCAGAACCAACTTCAAGATGTGACGTCTCCTTCAGGGCCCTCTCCTGCTACAGCTTTCTTCCCTAGGGCCCTCTCTCTGGGGTTGGGGGGTCCTCTGCCCCAGGGTCCTTTCCCCCAGAGCCCTCTCCCTCAGGACTCTCTTCCTCAGGAACTTCAATGGGGAAAGGGTCTGAGCCATTAAGGATGCACAGGCCTAGGATTTCTGATAAGGGGCTAACCCTGCATTTTGCCTCCTTTTTTCTGTGACCACGAAGTTGTGGAAGGTAAAGCTGCTTTTCTTTTTTGTCTTTTTGAGACAGGGTCTCCCTGTAGCCCCAGCTGGCCTGGAACTCACTATGTAGACCAGGCTAGCCTCAAACTCACAGAGATCTACCTGTCTCTGCTGGGACTAATGGCATGTGCTACCACGCTTGGCAATAAAGCTGCTTTTAACCTCCAGGTTGTAATTCCTACTTAATTATTTTGGGTATTCCTTATGTTCTGTTCTTCAGAGTTCATTTGTAAAATTATTTGATGCAACACTGTGAGTAGTTTCCAGCAGGATTTACATCTACACCATAAGGCTATGATGCAGTTATAAAATTAACGATTCTTTCTGAAGTGATTTGAAATAAAACATACAGAAAAATCACTGTAATTCAGACTTTATTGCTTATTAGTTATGTCATACCATACAATTTTAAGTAAACAGACTTTGAGAAAATATACTGGGAGCGTTAAATAGATGACGGCATATCGATGAAGACGTTCAAGTGTTCATATGCAGTAACAAGAGGCACCAATGCCATCATCACTCCCAGAGATTTGTACATTTCATATAAAAAGAGTAAAAATAGTTCATTGGCACCTAACTAGCATTGTCTTTTATAACCTAAGACCACAATAACCTTGACCAGTTTCATAATCTTCAAAGCAGAACAAGAGATTTTTTTTTCCATTACAAGATGTTTCTTTAAAAACAACAACAAAAAACAACCCAACAGACCAACATGATAACAAATCTACACATACAGAGCCTGAAAATGAAAGATGTTGTAGTCTGGTGGTCCTCAATTTCAATATTAATCCAAAAAGGTGAGTCAGCTTTTTAAAGTGAGTTGAGCTTCAACTGTTTCACTATAATCATACTTACTTTATAGTTCACACAATTTAACTGAAGTCAAGAATAACTTTTTTAAAAATCCATGGATACACCTCAATCTACTCTTATGCTAAGGTAACTTCTTTAAAGGTTATTCTTTAAAACCTTGGCATAAACAACACAGGTAAAACCTGACAGTCTATCAGTCTACCCTTCCAGATATATAGCAGGGGTTCTAAGTGTTCTTAGAGCTGGGGAGCACACACAAAGTCACTGTAAATTACACACAAGCATCAATGACTCTCCTAGAGAAACTGTGAATAGTTTCCTAATGGATATTTTAAAACTAAGCATGTATAACAACAATTTAGCATTTGAAAGACTTATATATGTACTATTAAAAAGATCCAGAGGTTGAAAAATACATTTGTATACCTGAAAAGACACCATCAAAAACAACACCAAAAACCCAAACAAAGAACCTCAAGATCTGAAATGTGGTTTATGCTGATCCCATCTACAGACCTAGTTACCCAACAAGAAAACCTTCACAATAGCCCATAAATAGGAATTTATTAAATTCATGGTCTCTAACAATACAAAAATTAAATATTAAGGCATCTTTTACTCCCATCCTGGCATATGCAGCAAAGAGAAATGTTTTAAATAAGAGTTAGCACTCATTCAAATGCTTTCTAAAGTATTTGGCAAATTTGCTCTGTATGTGTGTATGAGTGTATTTGGAGGGGCGTGTGTGTGTGTGTGTGTGTGTGTGTGTGTGCACATGCACGCACATGTGCTTGTGTGTGGAGGCCAGAGACCTACACTGTGTGTCTTCCTCTACTGCTCTCCACCTTATTTTTTTGAGACAGATTCTCTCATTGAACCTGGAGCTCCCTGATTCAACTAACTGGCTAGCCAGTAAGCCCTAGGGATCATCTTGTCTCTGCCTTCCCAGCTCTGGGTTTCAGGTGCATGCTACTGTGCCTGGCTTTTTACATGGGTGCTGGGGATTTGAACTCAGGCCCTCATGCTTACATAGCAAGCACTTCACTGACTGAGCCATCTTCCCAGTCCCCATTTTTTTCTTCTATTCTCCTATGACACATATTATTGAAAACTCTCATGATCAAATAGCCTCCCCCAAATCACAAGAAAAGTATAAACAGATATCAATTTATTAAAGGGATGCAGTTCACTGCTGAAGAATAAAGAGGAACTACAAAGGGAGTCATATAAAGTTCAAATCCCAGTATTCAAATCTCTGAAGCAATTTATGCTTTTGTTATTATGCAAAAAGAGATGAAAATTTCAAGGTGAGAAGCCTATTAATAAGGGTCGTGCTATAGAATAATCACAGGCTCAAGATTTGGCTGTACTGGATTGACAGTTTGAAAAGGGCTTTGTTCTCCTTTAGAAATCATCCCGTCTAGACTAGGTCCATGTAAGTTAACAGTGATTACTATTCCTAATAGTCACCTAGTCTCAAAGCTCAATAGGCTTTTACCTTTTATTAAGGCAAGTTTGTGAAAATCATTTAGCTCAACCAAATCTCTTCAGGAACTTTCCACTGACATTTTTTAAGAAACATATAAAAGAATTCTATCTTATAAAAAGCCTCCTCAGTACCAGAAAAAAATAATGAAAGATGTTAACACTGTTTACTATTTAAAGGACACTCTTCCTTTGTGTTGGGTGTTATTCATCATCTTTAGAGCCAGTTTTGCTTAACTGTAAAACAAAAACAAAAAGTATGAAGTATTTGAGTCATTATTTCTACTCAAAATCAACACTAAATAAGCACTAGGAAATAAGGTTCACATAATATGAGTTTTAAATGATAACTGCTGCCATATGTAACTACTTTTCAACTTTATGCTTAGCTGCTTCCAACAGGTTTAATTATACAACCTCAAAAGCAGATGCAACAGAACAAGGTTGGAGGGGGAGGGTCCTTGAAGTGTCCCAGAAATAAATCAGATCAAGAATATTCTAATAGAACATGCAATTTCTTATGTGAATGACATACTTTTTTTTTTTTTTTTAAAGTTTTTATTTGTGACAGCATTTCACCATAGCCCCAGCTATCCTCGAGCTTGCTACGTGGACCAGGCTGGATCTCAGAGATCCACCTGCCTCTGCTTCCTGAGTGCTGAGATTAAAGGTGTGCACCACCACACCTGGCCGGAATGCTATACTTCTACCATAGAACACTGTCTATGTTCTATCATAGAAAATAAATGATTTTTTTCACCCATGCTTACTCTTTGTTGATAAAAATAAGAAAGTCTCATATGAATCATGCTACAATAATAATGTCTAGTGCTTTCTTCATGACAGGCTCTGTTCTAAATGCGTTATTTTATTTTATTTTATTTTATTTTATTTTATTTTATTTTATTTTATTTTATTTTATTGTTTTTGGTCTTTTTTTGAGGCAGGCTCTCCCTGTAGCTCCAGCTGTCCTGGAACTTACTAGGCAGACCAGGTTGACCTCAAACTCACAGAGATCCTCCTGCCCCTGCCTCCTGAGGGATTAAAGGTGTGCGCCACCATGCCCAGACCTAAATGTGTTTTTTTAAAAAAGATTTATTTTTATTTTTTTATTTAGCTTGTGTGTGTGTGTGTGTGTGAGTGTGTGTGTGCACACACAGGTTCTCAGCTAGTTACAGGCTGTTGATTGGGAGCCACCTGACAACAGGGCTGGTAACGGAACTCAGGTTCTCTGCAAGAGCAGTATGCTCTCTAACTAGCCCCCTCTGTTCTAAATGTTTTGATGAACACATATTAACCCATTTAATCTTTGCAATATGATGAACTTTATTTTCAGTCTCATTTTAGAGGTGTGGAAATGGAGACACAGAGGTTTAGAAACTTGCCTAAAAGCATCCAGCTGGCAACAAAGATGGTTTCACACCCAGGCGGTCTGACTCGGAGTCCTTGGTCTTAATTCCTCACACACCACTTTATACATGTGTCAATATAATGGAACATGACACTGATAGACAATTACTACTTAACTTTTTAATACATTTATTTATTGACTGATTATGTGAATCTATGTGGTATGTGTGCAGGCCTGCAAGTAATCCAGCATGTCTGTGGAAGTCAGAGGGTAACTTGTAGGAGTCAATTCTTTATTTCTACCATGTGGGTTTTGAGGATAGCACTCAGGTCATCAGGCTTAGCAGCAAGTGTCCTTACCTATGTGTGTATGTATGGGGTCCTGAGGACTAAACTCAGGGCCTGTGCAAACAAGTCTAGGGCTCTATCACTGAGCTGTATCCCCAGTCCAAAAGATAAAATCTTTCTTTCCTAAATTTAAAATTTTTATGTGTGCATGTAGGGTGTGTTTGTAGATAAATTCTTTTTAAAAATTGTAATAAAATAAACCATCTTACCCAGATAACAAATTCTTTTATTTGTTGTTTTGTTTTTGTTTTTTGAGACAGGGTCTCCCTGTAGCCCCAGCTGGCCTAGAACACAGTATCTAGACCAGGTTGGCCTCTGTCTCCCATGTGGTGGGATTAAACGTATGTGCCACCACATCCAGAAAGATGACAAATTCTTAAACTATAATTATGAAAATATAATTTAAAAATCTTAAACTGTGAATTTTTTTCCTGATAAAATTCTTTGGCAAGAGTTGACAAACTTGGGGGTGAAGCAGATTCGGTCTCTAACAATACAAACATGATTCTAATAGATCAAGCATCCCTTTGCCACTAAACTCACACTGTATCCAATAGCTAAGAATGTGGGAAGCTGTGAAAGCAGAAACTACTAAATAGTTTGAAAATACTCTGGCTCTCTTTAAATAACCGAGGATACTAAGAATTTTTTGAAACGTGGCTTGTATCTACTGCATTTAGAATTAAAACTAAAACATTTCATTCATGTAAAACTAACAATAAACTTCTAATAACCCAACAATTCTTTTCAGGTGTGTATATGTGTGTTGTATGTACATGTTTGTGTAAATATGTGCATGTGGGTACCTGTGCATGTGGATGCCAGAGGCTGATGTCAGGTAAGTCTTCCTTGATATTATTTTTCAACACAGGGTCTCTCACTGAACTTGGAGCTCATCAATTCAGCTAGGCTTGCTGGCCAATGAGCTCTAGGGATCTGCATGTCCCTGCCCCCCAGAGGCATGCCATTGCACTTAGTTTTTTATGTGGGTGCTGGAGATATGAACTCAGGGCCTCACACTTGTACAGCAGGAACTTTACTGACTGAGCCATCTCTCTAGTTCCTCAATAACATTTTGAAAAAAGGTTTATTTATTTTACAGGTATGTGTGCTTGCCTGCCTTCTTGAGTTTGTGTATCATGTACATGCAGCAGCTGGTGGAGGCCAGAAGAGGGCATCAGATTGCCTAGAACTGGAGTTAAAGAAAACTGTGGGCTGCCACATAGGTGCTAGGAAGCAACTCAGGTCATCTGCAAGTTAGTTAGCTCTCTAAACCACTGAGCCATATCTCCAGCCCCTCAGTCACATCTTTTTATTTATTTTTATTTTATGTGTATGAGTGTATCACCTACGTGTATGTAAATGCACCTGTGTCAGGCCATGACTCCACAGGTCAGAAGAGGGATTCCCCTAGAACTGGAGTTAAGGATGGTTGTTAGCCGCTATGTGGTGCTGGAAATTGAATCTAGGTTCTCTGCAAGGGCAGCTGGTGCTCTTAACCACTGAGCAATTTCTCCAGCCCCTCAACAAAAGTTAAAAAAAAACTACATTTCTTAAAGTAAAACTTAGAGTGGTACTGGTTTTCCATTCCTGCAGATTTCTTTGTTATCTAGCCCAAAAGGCCACTAGAGTCTCCCAGATCTGCCCTGCAGTCAAGCAGGCACTGGAAGCACACCTCAGCAGAGGAGCTGGAGTTATAACTTACTGCTACACATTATGAGAAAAGAAATCTAAAACTCAGGGTATTAGGAAGCAGAGAATGTGAAGCGTATTTCAAAAATACTTACATGCTGAAGGCAAAAATGTATAGACATCCCAGGAAATCCCAAATGTTGCAGGAGGAAAAACAGAAAATATAAATTTCATTATTTGATGGCAACAACTATAATAATTTTGAAGACCAGAACATTCTATACCTTCACGACATCAACCCAGTTCCAGCCTCGAGGAAGTTCCCCTTTGTGATCTGGAGGACAAAATCAGCAATGTTACTAAGACTGATCTAGTTTTCAATGAATTAATATTGTAACAAGTAAGATTATATATATATATATATACATATATATATATATATTATAACAACAAATAGATTAAAAATTTAAATCACATATTACTAAATAGTTCATTGTCTTTCTGACTTGAAAGCACCATCCTGAAGATACTAGTAAACTATGTGAGCTATACTCCCTTTTACAGTCACCCATTTTCATTCAAGACAGAACCTCTCACCAAGGAAAAGAGATGGGTGGGATCAGTCTATAGCTTCCATGCAGTCACTGCACAGTTCTACATTGTACAGGTCACTGCTTCCTGAGTAAAAGCTGTACTAGCTCACTCTTTTACAAGTCAGTGTTTTGAGGCTCAAAACAGGAGAGACCTCATCAAATGCTTGGCTTCAAGGCTAAGAGGCGTACCAAGTTAGCTTACACACAAATTGGCTATACTCTGATAAAACATTATTTGACATTTTTAAAAAATAGCTTTACTCTATTGAGAATGCTTGAAAGAGCGCTCACAGAACTTACGTTTAAAAATGCAGATTACAAAGTACTTTCATTCTTTTACTAGTCAAATAAAAAAAAGTTTAACAAATAAATACTACTTAAAATGTCTTCAATTTTAGGGCTGGAAAGATGGCTTAGCTGGTAAAGATGTTTGCTGCCAAACCTGATACCCTGAGTTTGATCCCTGGGACTCACATGGTAGAAAAGAATTGACTCCTACAAGGTGTCCTGTGACCTCCATACACACACACACCATGACATGTGCCCACATATACGTGCACACACAAAATAAAAATAAATTTGAAGATGCAATAAAAATAATTCTTCAATTTCAAATGGTTTGATTTCCCTTATGTGTCATGTTGTATGTCTCATTTTACAAAGGCTTTAAAATCGCCATTCAAAACAAATATACAGATTGAACTTCCATAGTCTGAAAAAACACTCCAGGAGCTGGAGAGGTGGCTCAGCAGTTAAGAGCACCAGCTGCTCTTGCAGAGGACCTGGGTTTGGTTCCCAGCATCCATGTGGTGGTTAACAACCATCTAAAACTTCATCAGTTCCAGGGGATCTGATGCCCTCTTCTGGCCTCCACAGGTACCAAAAGCATGTGGTGCACTTACATGCAGGCAAAACACTCATACATACCAACTAAAAACAAATAATTTTTTAAAAATGCTCTAAATCTGAAACTTTCTGAATAGTTCTATATTTTAGAGAATTTCAGATCTTGGATTTCCAGATTTTGGGTGCTCAACCAGAACTATGGAAATAGCCCTGATTCTGAAAACCACTGAAATCTGAATACTTCTGGGCCCAAGCATTGTGGATAAGGGATATTTAATCTATATTAACTGTACCACAAAATAAATCAGAAACTAACCCCATAACTCTTATGGGAGAGTTCAACTTCAGATGCTAATGATTCTTTTCTCTTTCAGACAAGTAAGAACCATCACTGGTTAAGAGGGGAATAGGGCAGATCACCAACTTGGTTAGCTAAAACTTACCCACAGTCCACAGGCTATCCTATTAAAGTTGTATTTAGAAAGAAGTTCCCAGTCACAAACTCTTACACTGTTATCACAGGAAGATGATGATCATCAAAGAGACAAACGTGGGGAAATATTAAAGAAAATGACCATAGGTCATTATTCAATAAAGCAGTTCTAACGAACACAGAAGCTAAAATATTCCAAAAAGACAATAACCCAAATTCTAGAAAATAGATTGGAATGGCTTCATTGAGGAAAATTTATTACTTCAATTACTTATACTTTAATGTTACCTTAACATGAGGGTGACTAATTCCTAGATTTTTATATCACAAACTCCTACAATTTCAAAACTGTTATTTATAAGGATCAACAATTGTTGGTTTCTTTTTATTCTGGCATAGACAGATATAAGATAAAGCATAAACTTATTATCCTTTCATTAAAGAAAAGGAAGGGGGGGCTGGAGAGATGGCTCAGTGGTTAAGAGCACTGACTGCTCTTGCAGAGGACCCGGGTTCAATTTCCAGCACCCACATGGTGGCTACAAACTGTCCTTAACTCCAGTTCCAGGGGAATCCGAAGCCCTCTTCTGACTTCTGTGGCATTGCATAACAGGGGTGCACTCACATACATGTAGGCAATACACTCATAGACATAAAATAAAAATAATAAATAAAATATTTAAGAGAAAAGGCAGGGGCTGGAAAGATAGCTCAATGATTAAGAGCACTTGCTCTTCCTAAGGTCCCAAGTTCAGTTTCCAGCACCCATTTCAGGTGGTTTACAGCTGTCTGTAATTACAGTTCCAAGGAATATGATACCCTCTTCTGCCTCCATGGGCAAATCTTTAGAAAAGGGGGCAAAATAAAACAATCATACACACACTTATTTATATGTAAATGTGTGTGTGCATCAGCATGTCTTCTTTTCTCTTAACTGGGAAAAATTCAGACTAATATCTATTTGCAAATCTCCAAGCTAAAAAAATGGAAGCAAATGTAATTGTTGATATGAGCTAGAGTTTTTAATCCTTTTTTTGAGGACTCTGGTTTAGAACAGATGGGAATTCTTTTTTGAAATCTTATTGTATAAATACATTAACTACAGGAAAAAAAAGTTAAATTATTTATTATGCTAAGATCTAATCATGTACCAGACTTCAAATGAAATCTGTATTTCACACCATTTTAAAAAGTACATACCTGCCATATAGGTAACCCCACACACTGAGAATATTCAAGTAGCATACATGTTTTTGTCTACTATTCCAGTGTTCTTATGTCTCATTTCGTTTATAATGACTTTGTGACTCTGTACCTTCTTTTCAAATGATATCTCTTGTGATGAAGTAGCAATAAATATGGTATTTTTGTACAGTGACCAACAGGACTTTGATTCAAATGTTCCAAGAATAAAGACTAGAGAATTAACCCTGTAAATCTAAACATCAATTAAAGACAATCCACTTATCTTTTTATGTAGACAAAAAAAAGAACACAAACCTGTTTTGTCTGCCAGCTTGCGTTTCTGAGCCTTTGAAAGCTGTTCTTTTTTGTCCTTTTTCTTATTTGATGGGGCTGTGCTGGGAGTTTCAACTGAGATGACATTGGTTACAGATGTCTAAAAAAACCAAAATAGTTTTTAGATTCATGACTTAAAACCTACTGACTTAGATGAAACATAGGTATCTTTTAAAATTACTGGTGCATTTCTAATAAAAGAATCTTACTGCTGTTATTCACTAATTAAATCAGGTAATCTTACATATTATTGGTTTCACTCTGAAAAAGGTTCTCACAAAGACACAATATTGATGCAACAGTTCAACCAGAACCTGAAAAGGAAAGTTTGATTACCGGCACTATGTTGAAGATCTGAGATTCCAATACAATTTTATAGATTTGTTTACTTGCTATCATTTGGAAATTTACACCTTCAGAAAATTATACCCTATTTAGATCATGTTGGTTCCCTGAAGAAAGTTTTTAAATATTTGGGCTTGTGTAGTTAATGCTTATGAGAGCTAACATTTAAAGTGCTTACCATGCAACAAGGATTGCTATAATTACAGGTCATTCATTTGATCCATATCATAATCTTATAAGGTAGATTCTATTATAATCCCATTTAAACAATGAGAAACCAAGCTCAGAGAGATTAAGAAATTTTGTCAAAGTCACAGAGTTATCAAGTGGTACAAAGAGAATTTGAACCCAGACAGGCTGGTTCTCAGCCACCTCCCATACTGCTCCTTCCTTAGCCTCTCCATCCGCCCCTTTCACTAAGAATCTAGAAGCTATAGCCACCCAAGTAGAAAGAAGAACCTTTGCTGCCAGTTTACAGTCTGGTTCACAAGACAAAACAACATGACAGTGATCCCAGAAAGCTTTCAGTGAAGATTGGTACAAAGAGGACTTACATTAGATGGTTAAGGGCATAAAAGATGATTATTTCCTAAAATCATTCTAGAAAATAAAACATTATTTTTCTATTCATTAATGTCCCCTTATGTTCTAATACTCTCAAATTAAACTATGACAAGACACCCCACCCCCACCCCGGCTGGCCTTGAAATCATAGAGATCTGCCTACCTCTGCCTCTCTGAGGGCTGGGGTTAAAAGCATGGACTACCACGCCTGGTAAGACCACGTTCTTAAAACAAACCTCGGGAAAAAAGCTACTTCATATATATTTTAACACTATATCAGAAGTCTTTTAGCTTTCTAAACTTAATGAAAAGATTAATTTTAAAAAACTAAGTTCAAGTTGGGAGTTGGTGGCACACACCTTTAACCCCAGCACTCAGGAGGCAGAGGCTGGTGGATCTCTGTGAGACTAAGGCCAGCCTGGTCTACAAAGTGAGTTCTGGGGCTGCAGGGAAACCCTGTCTCAAAAAGACAAAAAAATAAAACCACCACCAACAAAAAACAAACAAAAAAAACTAAGTTCTATAGTATCTCAATTTTGATTATCATAAGAAGTATTTTGATCTTTGATGAAGGGTAAAAATCAATAGAACATAATTCCATTTTCTAAATTAAATAGAAGAAATCTAAACTTCCTTGCTCTGACTTAACCCAGATGTAATTCTCCATTTAAATCTAACACAAAGTTTTCCAATTTTCAGAAAGCTATTATCAAAAATTATTTATTAAGATACTCAAACCAAAACTATGTGGCAAAACCAACCACAGACTCACGGTAGAATTAACAGGATGGTGGTTCTCCATGAACTGCTCTTGATTGTCCTTAGCATATTCAAATAGTGTGTAGGTCATGGCAGCTCCAAGATTGACTTCCGCTGCCTCCTGTAACTTGGCTAATATACTCTGCTTTACAGCGGAGGAGCTGCAACACAGAAGAATTATACTGTCAGGAGGAAAGTAAAATAGAGAATCAAACCAAAAGATGATGAAAACAAAACTACTCACATGGTGTTGTTAAAAAAAGCATTCATAGATATAATTGGAGGTGTCTGAGGATATGTTTCAGTCCAGGAAATCTCTACTAAGAAGGCTTTGGGATCGCCATTTTCACCTATCTGAAGAAAAGGGAAATCTTAAGCTTCTGAAAAATGATAAAAAGACTAAACATTAAATTATAATCTTCAAAATCATTAATTCTTTCCAATACTCATATTCAGATCAGAAATGCAATATGCTGAAACAATTCAGAAGTATAGGCTCCGACTGACCAAGGGTGAGGGGAATATAAAGAACTCTAGCTCTGACTTCATCCTCTCTGCTTTAGAAGTTTAATTTCTGCTGATTACCTGTTTCTCAAGCAGCCACCAGATTTTCAACATCAAGGCTACAGAGAAATTTTCTGAAGATGAAAATAAAATACCAACTACAGAGTACAAGAAGGGAATGGACAAAAAGAGTCCCAAAATTGAAACACCTTATCTTTGTCTTAAGCTTTCCAACTGTTAAGCTGCAAGAGGCATAAAGAAAGTAAACTGACCTCATGCCTTTAATCCCAGCACTCAGGAGGCAGAGGCAGGGAGATCTCTGTGAGAGTGAGGTCAGCCTGGTCTACATAGTGAGTTCCAAGCCTGCTGGGGCTACGGTCTCAACAAACAAACAAACAAACAAAGCACAACAAAAAAAGAAAGAAAATTGATACGTGCCTATCAAGAGTCAAGAAACCAGAAAATGGAGTGTAAAGTTGAGAGAAAAAAGGAAAAGGAAGAGGAAGAGGAAGAGGAATGCCTCAGGCTGTAGAGCACTTCCTGAATAAGAATTCTTTTGTTTTGTCAACTTAAACAGTAAGTGTTCACTGGTATTTATTTATCTAATATTCTCACCTCACTTCATTTCCTCCTCTCTATCACAGAAATCAACACCCACTTCTCCAACATGTGTCATTCCCCTCCCTACCCCTTGGTTTGGTTGAATCATTTGAAAGTAATGAAATATCTCTGGATATTTATGAATAAAAACTCTGATTAAAAAAAAAAAACACTCTCCTTTATAAGCACAAGACCATCATCAGAGCCAAGAACTCAACATTGATATAAAAGTGTTATCTAATACATAATTCATATTAAAAATTTCCCAGTTATGCCTAAGGTGTCCTTTTATAGATACCACTCCTACCCCAGAAATCTATAATCCATTGACATATTCTTAGACCAGTCCTTAGCCCCCCTTGGACTTGTTAACTGTCTTTTTATAACATTAAGAATCCAGGCCAAGCTGGACATGGTAGTGCATGCCTTTAATCCCAGCTTGTAGGAAGTAGAGGCAAGGGAACCTCTGTGAGCTAGAGGACAGCATGATCTACATAGGGAGTTCCAGGCCAGCTGGGGCTATAGGGAGACTCCATCTTAAAAAAAAAAAAAAAAAAAAAGTACAGGCCAGTTTTCTTGAATAACATCCCAAAATACAAAATATGAAGTAATTGCCTCCATTCAGATTCAGATTGAACATTCTTTCTTTTTTTTTTTTTTGGCTTTTTGAGACAGGGTTTTCCTGTAGCTCCAGCTGTCCTGGAACTCACTCACTTTGTAGACCAGGCTGTCCTTGAACTCACAGAGATCCGCCTGCCTCTGCCTCCCAAGTGCTGGGACTAAAGGTGTGTGCCACCACACCCGGCTGGAACAATCTTTTTTTTAAAGAATGTGTATGAATCTTTTGCCTGCATGCACCTAAGTCACATCTGTATAGTGCCTGGGGAGGCTAGATGAGGGTATTGGGTTCCCTGCAACTGGAGTTAAGGACCATTGTTAGCTACCATGTGGGTTCTGGGAACTGAATCTGGGTCTTCTGCAAAAGCAGTAAGTACTCTTAGCCACTGAGCCACCTCTCCAGCCCCAGAGTGAACACTCTTGGTAAGGATAGGTTCTCATTGCATTATACAGGAGACACTTAAGGTCTTGTGGAATCTTTACTGGTGATTCTGTTTGATCACCTAGTTGAGGTGACAGTCTTCTTCAGATGTCTTCAATGTAAAGTTACCTTTCGTTTTATAATTAAGAGGTGATCTGTGGGGGCTGGAGAGATGACTCAGCAGTTAAGAGCACTGGCTGCTCTTGCAGAGGACTCGAACTTGATTCCCAAAACCCACATGGCACTAACAACCATCTGTAACTGCAGTTCCAGGGGATCTGATGCTCGCTTTTGACCTCTGTGGGCACACATGGGTACATGGGTGTACCTACCTACATGCAAACATAAAAAAAATAATAAACAAAATATTTAAAAAAAGAAGTGATCTGTGGAGTAATGCTACAAAACCATGTGACTACACTGCTTCTCAGCAACCTTTTGCCCAGAGGTTTAGCAACTGTATAAGACCTGCCTAAATCAATGATTGTACTGCTGGTTACATGATGATTTCCTAAAAAAAAACACAGAATAGTTCATGTACCGGCATCTCATCTTACACAGGGTGATGCTAATTTCCTCCATATTATGTTTCATGTATGCTATTTGCCTTAAAAATATTTACACCATAGCAGCAAGATTTAAAACTTTTTACCACAGGGGCTGGCAAGATGGCTCAGGGGGTAAAGGCACTTGCTGTCCAGCCTGACAACCTGAGTTTGATCCCTAGAACACACATGGTGGAAGGAGAGAACAGTCACATGTGCTATGGCACAAATGTATACAAATTTGTACACATGTGCCTACGTGCGCGCACATGAGCGCGCGTGCACACACACACACACACTGTAAAAAAACAATTAGGAAAAAAATGTTCACTTCAAATTGCTACTTGCTTCACCTTTATTTTCTGCCCAAATCCTCATGCTCATACTTTCAGTGACATTGCACAATATAGCACTGAGGCTCAGAAAACATGTCAAATACATTTAGGGAGTCCATTGATATAAGTTAATTATATGCATAATGGATGCTATCAGTTTATGCTTGTTTTGAATTGAGAGATAATTAAAAAGTGGGAAAAGTTACCTGCTTCATATAACCACTAAGTCCGTACTCAAGTGCCATGATTATTAAAGACAAAGGGAAGACCATTCCTGTCTTCAATGCAGACATCTAATGACTTACAAAACTACAATATGAAAAATAATCTAAAAGTGGAAGAGAGCGGTAGGAAGAAATGGAGAAGTTAATTTTGCTAAGGGCAGAGATACAGGCTTGGGCCAAATATATGGAGGAGTTTGACTTAGGCCTTACAGGGGAGGCCAGATGAGTAGGAGAAAAAAAATCTACAATGTATCCAAAGATATGAAAAAGTTATAATATATCTAAAGATATAATAGTAAAGGGAAAAAGAAGACACTTGAGATTATTTAGAAATCTATTACCTGACAGACACAGGGGTTGAGAGAGCTTAAAGTATCATTCAAAACCAAAGGGGATGACTTTGAGTTTCAAGCCAAGAATAAACCATCATTCTATAGATAAGACAAACCTACATAGAAACCTTTTTAAACAAGGGAATGAGATGACTACTTAAATGTTTCAGAGAGCTAATGAGGAGTCTGTTGGAGAACTAGGGGTTCAACAGAAAAGGGAGCTAAAAACAAGTTAAGGGGGGTTTCGTAGCCTACTGAACCACTGTGTACAAAAACAGAGGGGCTGACTAGGCACAACTGCAGCTCTTCTCCTTGGACTGTCCACACACGATCTCCAATTGATGTTTCATTCCATGCTCCATGCACATACATGTCCCAGACCATTCTGTATACCATGATCAGTGAATAACAGATGTTGTTAATGGAGACATTTAGGAAAGTATAAGGAAGTTCTGAGTCTCCCTTCTCCTGAAGGGAAGGTGGCAGTGGCTCAGAAAATCTGAGATGGCAGCTGGATTCAAACAGAAGAGCCTAGGCCTTAATTCCAGCATGAACTTTGGCCATTAAAATGTCCCTAGCTATTGTAAGGATTAATCTTGATAGTCAACATGATGGGGTTTAGAAACATCATGGAAACAAAACTTTGGGCATGTCTGTGAAGGACTTTCTAGATTAGGTTAATGGAGGTAGAAGACCCATCTAAATGTGGGCAGCACTATTTCATGTGCCAGAGCCTCCGGCTGAATAAAAAGGAGAAAGAGAACTGGGCAGCAGCATCCCTTCTCTTTGCTTCCTGACCCTGGATACAATGTGAGCAGTTGCCTCATACAGGATCCTGCTGCCATGACTTCCCTGCCATTGATAGACTTGACTGGTACTTTCAGACTGTGAGCCAAATAAACCCTTCCTTCTTTAAGTTGCTTTATTTAGATGATGATGATGATGATGATGACTGGGGAGGGGGTGTGTGCCACAGTGGATATGTGAAGGTCAGAGGACAACTTGTGGAGTCAGCTCCTTCCTTCCACCCTTATGCCGGTTCTGGGCATCAAACTTGGGTTGTCAGGCTTGTGAGGTAAGCACTCTCATCTTTCCAGCCCATAAGTTGCTTTTGTCAAGTATTCTGACATGGCAATAAGTAAAGTAACTAATATTGTTGTTATATAGATGGAGACAGTGTAGACTATTGGGCTTTAAGAGGGGTTGAGAATTGCTATAGAACATTCATTCCCCAGCTGCCCTTGGGAGGCTGAGAAAAGAGAATCAAGAATTTAAAGCTAGCCTGGGATACACAATAAGACTATGTCTTAAGAAAACAAACAAACAAACAAACTTATTTCTTGTAACAGTCTACAATATATAAGGATCCTACATATATGAGGATTATCTATCAACATTGACTGTGGAAAGAATTTAGGAAGCTTTAACTGACAGAAGTCATCTCTAAAAAGTAGAGCTATGTAATACTAAAGATCTCATTTGTTCCTAACATTTTATAATCAAGTCACCTTTGGTTTTTGGGGTTTTTTTTTTTTTTTTTTTTTGGTCTTTTTGAGAAAGGGTCTCCCTATAGCCCCAGCTGTCCTGGAACTCACTATGTAGACCAGGCTGGCCTTCAACTCACAGAGATCCGCCTGCCTCTGCCTCCCAAGTGCTGGGATCAAAGGCATGCCCGGCACCTTCGTTTTTTAAAAGGTTCTGAATTGTTTTCAAATGTTAACAACAACTAATGCCAAGGTGAAAAGTTTTCATTTAAATGCTTCAGAAGGGCTGGAGTTAAAAGGGCTGCAGTTAAAAGTGCTTCCTGCTCTTCTGAGAACCCGAGTTCAGTTCCCAGTACCTGATTCAGGCAGCTCACAACCACCTGTAACTCTAGCTCCAAGTGATCTGATACCCTTTTCTGGCCTCTGTGGGCACCTGCACACACATGGCATACATTTACATAGACACACACACACACATATACAAAAATAATAATTAAAAAAATAAAAGCTTTAGAAAATACAGAAACATAATTCAATTAAACCATGAAGTTCAAAAAACAAAATCAGGTTTTATAGACTCCACTTTTTTTTTCCTAGCAAAGCAGTACATGCATCTATTCATGCTGTATCTTACCCTATATTGAAATGAAACTGGACTTAATTCCCGGAAACTTTCATCTCCTTCATAAATAGAACGTAAAGCTTCTAGTTCCATCTGAAAAGAATCAATGCATTTTGTTAGTGGCATAAATGGATTGGAAACAGAGCCATTACTTTCTCATTCAAACCTACTCAACTAAAAAACTTGACAACTTACATGGCCTTAGATGCGTATTATAAATGTGTACATATAAATGCATTACAACTGTGCTAACAACACTTTAAAACTATGTATCAGGTACCAAGCATTTACACCGCATCATTTAACTTCTCACATCAATCCTTGAAGAACATTCCATGACCATAGTTGCTCTGCTTTATCATGCAAGAGAACAAGGAGATGAAAGCAACTTGTGCCTTTTATCACTCACTAAGTCTCAAGGTGTGGAGAAAAGCACTGACCTTGGAAATGAAAACTACAAAGCACAATTTCCCATTTTATTTTTAATATTTTATTATTTTTT